ATTACCCCCAAAGCTATGTATTTAAATCTAAAAAATCATTTTATTGGGAGCATTTACAGATATTATAATAATCCATAATTCAATTAGATAAAGTACAATAGTTGCCACCATCATTTTCAAAACATTTTCTTTCTTCTTGACCTCTTTGATATCAGTTCACCTTTATCCCCTCCCTCCCCCACCAGGAACCTTTCTTATATTATGTTATTATTACTATTATTGTTATTGGCATATCTTACACTATCCACTGTACCCATTCACCTACAATTCCGTTATTCGTTCCCCTTGAGTGGGGTTATACAGTCATCATTGCTATCGATTCTCCCTCTCCTCCAACCTCTCTTCTCGTACCTTCAGGGAATCAGTACTCCCATTGTATTTCAATTTTTTACAAAATAACCTTATCACCTTCAAAGTACTCTCCATTACACTTATTACATTTGTAAAATCTGTGATTCCATTCTTGGAAACATTTTTCAAAATCATCTGTTTGGACGGCTGATAGCACCTCTTTCATTTTTTCCTTCACCTCTTCTACGTCATCACATCGCTGTCCTTTCATGTTCCTCCCTCTTCATTTACAGAAACAAAAAGAAGTCGCATGAAGTGAAGTCAGGTGAGTAAGGTGCATGGGGCAGGAGAGGCATGCTGTTTTTTGTCAAAAACTGGCAAACTAAGACAGCTGTGTGAGTAGGTGCATTGTTGTGGTGGCAAAACCAGTCCCCCATTTGCCACAAATCAGGTCTTTTTGGTCTCACACTGCTAATGCAATCTTTTCAGGACCTCTAACCATAAAGCTTAATTAACGGTCTGACCTGGTGGAATGAACTCCAAATGCACGACGAGTCGACATTTATCATCTGTGAGATGTCCAGAATGAGGTTTGTCTCACTTGTACACTTGAGTTTTTCCCACAGCACTGTCCTTGTAAGCTGTGGGCAACATCATAAGTTTCAGTGGCATTTTTTTCTGAACAAGAAACAAAATTTCACAGCTGCATGCTGTTATCTTCAATCAGCATCACAAACATAGAGGTTTGAGCAAAGTTGCTTTGACGAACAACTCACTCTGACCAGAGAGAGCCTTCCGAGGGATGCCACTGGGAGCACAGACTCCGAGTCAGTGGCTGGAAGCTCGCCCACTGGGAAAAAACAGTGTGCTACAAAAGCTCCGCTCAGCCCAGCATAGTTCTGGGTTTTTTTGGGTAGCCCCTCCCCACCCCCATATGTATCAGTGACACACATTATTCAAGTTGTACAACCCTGTTTTCACTGCTAACCACTATGAACATAAACTCACTGACCCTGATGCTATACTTCAACCCTTTGGGTTGCTGTTGTCAATTTGATCATACCATTTTTGAAAGAGCTCTATACCCACAGGAAACATTCTTTTCAAATGAAAGTGAACTACTGCGTGGTTTGAAAAGTACTTCAAAGGATAGCTCACTGTAAGGTTTAAAGATTTTATCAGGACAATAGTTTCAGACAGTTATTCAGCCTCAATGTTGCCAGGAAGTCTGTAGCCTAGGCATATTTGAAATTTGTCTCATATTTTATCCCAAGACCAGGAATTTCTGATAGAATCTTTATCAAACATTGGATCAAAACACTCAGCAATAGTACCTGAGCTATTTGGTCCCTTTATTGGTAAATTTTCTATCTCCGCTTTATGGTCATATTTCTGTAAATCCTTGAACATATTTACCATTTTTATAACATATTCTACATTTTTTTGTCTTAATCATATTTAATTTCTTGATCTGTTTCTGTGGACCAACTGTCTTCTCATTTTATTTCCTCTTGAGTGTGTTTGGTAAGTTTAACGTTCAGTGTTTATGGGTTGGGCTGCAATCTGCATGGTCGGCAGTTTAAAACCACTAGTCGCTCCAGAGGAGAAAGACTGGGATTTCTACTCCTGTGAACAGTTTTGGTCTTAGAAACCCATAGGAGGTGGCCATGAGTTAGCATTGACTTGATGGCAGTGAGTTTGTGTATTTTTTCAGCATTCCTTTTGTTGTAGGGGATAATGAGAGAAAGTTCAAATAGATTTTAAAGAGACCCTTTTAATAAGTTTCAAATAAAAAAAAGACAATGACACATGATTTAGTCACATGGCTACATCATTTAAAAAAACTGAACTCTAAAAAACAAAAAACAAAAAACTGAAATCACTGACATATAATTGATTCCAACTCATAGTAACCTTATAGGGGAGGGCAGAACTGCCCTGGTGGGTTTCTGGACTATAACTCTTTATGGGGGTAGAAAACCTTATCCTTCTCCTGAGGACCAGTTGGTAGTTTTGAACTGCTGACTTTGTGGTTAGCAGTCCATCTGGTAACAACGACACCATCAGGACTCCTTGGCATCCTAGAACATGTAAATAAAGGCAATCATCACAAATCATTTGTTTGGCAGGTCAAAACATAGGTGAAGGTGGTACCTGAAGTGGGAAAGGAGCTATGATTATAGTATATTACTATTGAAGGTAAGACAAGTTTACAGGATTGGTTCTGAGGCACCCTGACCATCTTGGCTGGGGCTAGACTTATAACCAGGTGACCCCAGTATCCCAATTTCCATCAAAGGCACATCAAGGAAGTCTCTGAGGGCAAGATTGCCACTGAAGCACCCAGGACTACCTGGGAAGTCATAGAAAGTGCACTCTGGCTGAGGGGAAAGTTTTCACATTGCAGGCCAATGGTCAGAAGAACTCAATGGCTGAATCTATGGATTTGGGCTCCCACTGTAAACCGTGGCCTCCCACAAGCCGAGTGCTCAGAATTTAACTTCAGTAAATACACTGAAGAGTTCCACACTTTGTTTTGCCCTTCAGTAGCTTGCTTGCTTGAGCTAGGTTTCTCCTGCTACCAAGACATCACCCCTTTAGGCTCTCCAAAAATTCTCAGTGTGTTCAATGTCTCTCCCCTCTGCTTTTGGAAACTTAACTCTTTCCCAGACTTTTAACCTCTTGGAATGTTTAAGGTTATCATTCCTTGGCAATACTCTATTTTTATGCAAATACACACCTGTGTTTGTAAACTTCTCCCACCACCCCAAATTCCTCTAAGATAAAAACAATTTGCTGTTAAAAAGTGTGTTTTAAAAAACATACATACATCCTTGGGAAAGGGGGCACTCAGTAAACAACTGTAGAAGGAATGTTATTTATGTAAAAATACAGCTCTCTCCCGGAAAGCCCATTACCTAGTCTAGTAAAGTTTACCCTACCTGAGATAAGCTTTTTGGTTTCCAGGGAGTGCCTGTGAAGATTTCTGGTGCTCTTTAGTGTCTGCAGAGCTTCTTCTCGTACTCTGTCCTCTAGATTCTAGCTCTGTGGCCTCCCCTAGACTACATAAAAGACACACACAAAAACTTCAATACAGTAAGACCTTTGGTTAATCGGGGGTTCCCCTTCTTGTGTTAGACCAGAAACTAACTGCAGGAAGAAGTCAGAGACAATGATATGGCTCCCTGAGCAACTTGGGATGAGTCTGATTTTGTCCATGATCTCATGTCTGAAGTCAATTGTTTCAGATATTTTGTCTAGTGTACGATTTGCTTATGTTAAATTTGGCTACAAAATGTTTACAGGAACAGCTCCTGTAAAAAGACTGGAAATACAAAGATCAACAATTTACAGAAAACTTGAACAAATATGAGTAAAAAGTTACAATATTGTAGTTTTAACAGATTCCTCAAATTCTGACACTTTCCTTCTATCGAGGTGGGCTCTATTTCTCCTACTCAAGTGAAGATTTTGTGACCACTTGTACATGACTGAAATGATATGGCCGTTTCCCCTACCAGACTTTTTAAGAATCCTGTTCCTTGGAATTCTCAATCTTAGTATTTGTTCAATAGCTGAGTGAAACCAAGCTGACATTGGGGAGGTCGTATATAGTTGTTCTGGCTCACCGCCCCAATGACTCAGCCAAATGCCAACAGCAATTGCCAGCCATGTGAGTGCAACCCCCAGCTGCTGAGTCAGACCAAACTCTGAGTCACCGCTGACGACACTGCGTGGAAGAGAAACAAGCTGTCCCTGCCGAGGCCTGACGATATTTCTGATTGGTCAGGAAAAGAAAGGGTGGTTTTTATATAGTAATAGAGACTTGGAACAAGTATATCATTAAATGCTATGGCAGATATGGCTAAAATATTTATTGTTTATTACTGGCCAGGTACTGAATGAGAAAGGCTTTTAGGATGTGATATTCAAGTGGAGATTTTGAGAAGACTAAGAAGTAAAATAAAAGAAGTGCAGGCAAGGTAGAAAGAGTTGCATATTTGAAGCCATGAGAAAATATGAGATGGGCTTTAAGAGGTACAGAGAATACAGTTCAAGAATTAGGGTTTGAAGGCAGACAGCTCTAAATATTTCCAATCATGTAATTGATTTTGTTCAAAGACTATCTTTTTCATCACCTGTACTGCAAAACGTTCTCACATCGTACTTTCAGCCCTATAAAATGGTACCTGGCACCCTTAGGAATGAATATTTAATGAATCGTATACACATTTTTTGGAGTGTTAGATTGGCTTATGTCTCTCTGACAATGTGTGTTGTGAATCTTAACCTCTATGGCTGTGGTTAAAATGGCAGGAAGTGAGTTGTCTTTTTTGTTAGTGAGGCAGAGACACTGTACAGTATTCAATATCTTCTGAGATATAGACGACATTAAACAAGCAACAAAGAAGAGTCAGGAAAAAAGATGTACAGTACTGCCAGGTACGGAAAGCCAGAAGAGACCAGGGCTCTCCTTCAGAGCTGATAGAAAGACTTCCTCGGGAGCCGGAACCTTGAGTCCAGACTTCTCTTGTTAGGTCTAGTCCATTCCAACTCATAGTGACCCGATGCACAACAGAATGAAACACCACCGGTCCTGTTCTGCTCTCACCAGTCCTTATGTTTGAGCCTCCTAAATTGTGAAGACGAAAAAAATGCTAATTAAAGCCATTAATTTGTGGCTAGGGTTTATGCTGAACTGCTAATCACAAGATCAGCATTCAAAACCGCCAGCCATTCACATCCTGGGAGAAAGATGAGGCTTTCTACTCCTGTAAAGAATTACCATGTCGGAATCCCTTGGGACAGTTCTATGCTGACTTAGAGGGTCTCTGTGAACAGAAACCAATTTGATGACAGTGAGTTTTTGACAGATTGCCTTGAAGAGAATATTAGTAGAATTATGCATTTCAAATGCAAAATGTTGGTGTTCCCTCAGGAGGTGAGAAGAGCTAAAAAGCAGGGGTCCACACAACTTTTTAAACAGGGAGCCAGTTCACTATCCCTCAGACCCGTTGGAAGGCCAGACTATAATTAAAAAAAAAACACTATGAACAAATTCCTATGCACACTGCACATATCTTATTTTGAAGTCAAAAACAAAACAGGGCAAAAACACCCGGCTGGCCGGTTAAGTGTCCTCAGCGGGCCACGTGTGGCCTGTGGGCCGTAGTTTGAGGACTCTTGCCTTAGAGACTACAGATAGCACCAGCAACAGAATATTGCTAGTAATATGGACATTAAATGTGCTTCTGGGGAGGCTTTAAGAAAATGAACATGTTATTCGACAACGGAGGAAAGGTGATACTTTTTTGCAGCGGCACATCACTTGTTTGAATTTTATTCAAATATTAAGTGGAAGGTACAACTTGGAAGTGATAAAATTAAGTATTTGACTCAGGATTTTTCTAAGCAATATCTTAAAAAGGGCCTCATTGGCTTCATTTTGCCATGTATAGAAAAGAGATGGATTTAAGAATGAACTGCAAAATGAAAAGATGACTTCGAGATCTGGAAAATTCTGTTATATAAATTAAGGAGATGAGTCCAGTGGTGTCACAAAGGGGATATGTACAGGGGGTTCTGGACTGCAGCTCCTGACACTGTCAGAGGAACTGACACCAAGATGACACCAGGGTCTATGGCGGCAGGTGGGCTATCACAGGGGAAGGAGTGACGAAGGCAGTGGTATCACTAGAGATGGTGGCCCCTGGCACCCAGTGTGCTAACCCATCAATTCGCCCTGCTCCCCATACCAGGTAGGGTGCTTGTGGGGGGTTTTCTGTGGTTGCCCACTTTTGGGGTGAACAGGAGAGCCTCAGCCTTGGCTGACATGAAAGTAACGAAGGAATCAGACTAGAAGTGGGGCCACACAGGGCAGTGCTTAGTCTTGTGCAGGGGTAAGGGAGAAGCAGTTCCCCTGCCCACTTGAAGGGGTCTGCAACGAAGTGAACTATTTAATTTGGCTCTTCTAGCACAGCCTTAAGGTGCCATGGTGGTGTAGTGGTTATACACTGGGCTGTAATCTGCAAGGTCAGCAGTTAAAACCACCAGCTGCTGTGTGGGAGAAAGACAGGGTTTTCTTCTCTGTAAAGATTTAGTCTCAGAAACTCACAGGGACAGTTCTACCCTGGCCAATAGGGTCACTATGAGTCAGCATTGACTCAATGGTGGTGAATTTGGTTTGGGAGAAGTCTTTGGTACTCCTACCAAATGACCTTCATTTTTCTAATGGGTTTGAGTAAAGAGATTGATGGAGATAATGACTGGGGCTATATGCTTCAGTTGTGATTATTAACAGGGTTAATTATGATTGCCATTCTTCTGGGTATAAAATGAGCCATTTCAGAAGCTGTTTGCTAACCCATGGAGGTGCAGCTGAGTGCCCTTGTGTTGAATCTTATAGCAGAGTGGCATGCCCTTTGGGCATTTATTGGCAACCCTAAAAGAGCTCTGTAATATTGCACAAGTAGAACAGAGGCCAATGGGCTGTGTGCCTAATCGAGGCAAACCCTAGAGAGAGACCTGCCTATGGACATAGCTGAAAAGAGGTTGTCCTGCCTACATAATTGTATCTTGAGCATTTCTCATTTGAGTTGTAAACTGTTAACTACTCTAACAAAGCGTACAATTGTGAGCAACATCTGTGAATTCTATGTAGCCATTACAATGAAAGAAAGTAAGGATGGAACAAGTACAGTCATGGGGGAAATGTTCGGTGTCAGAATAGAGTTAAAGACAGAGTGTAGAGGCACATCTGTTCTTTGCCTGTGGTAATCACACTTGGAAGCCCAAGGCGATATATGGAGATAAGGCCCACACACTGTTTCCTTAGACTGACACCATGAGTTGCCCTGACTAGGTGTCATGAACTCCAGTGGTATCTCTGCTGTTGTCCGAGAATTTACACCAAGGACGTGGCTACAGAATCTCATGATAGAAATTAAGTCTGATTGATTGATGGAACTAATCAACGACCACAGAAGTGTAGTTGAACTGGGGAGACAGATAAATAATTGTTTCTTGAAATTCTACATGCTTGTTTAGTTTGATAGGCATGGTTCTGTTTCTGTTTAAGAGGGTTATTGAAAGTTTCACCCTCTCATTAATCCCCATTGTTGGTACAGTGTCCAGTCACTTTGTTTAATCTGCACAAGTCAAAGCAGGCTTATGCATGCATAATTTCTTTTTCTCCACAGTGCTTTAAATTCTATAGCACTGGCTAAATTAATGACACTATCAATAGAATCCCCTTATGCTACATGGGAAAGATTTAAGTTCTCTATCATAAAGTGATGATGCCTTTACTGTGAACCAAAGCCCTACATACGAATGCAGGGCTTGCCACCTCCAACCTAAGAATTGATACATACTTGACACCCTCATGAAGAGATCACTGAAATTACGGCAGTATCGCAAAGTGTGAAGAAACCAGATGGTGCCTGGCTATCAGCAAGAATAATATCTGGGGTCTTAAAGGCTTGTCTTCAAACAAGCAGCCATCTAAGTGAGGTATCAACTAAGTCCACACTGAAGAAGCACACCAGGTTGTGTGATCCAAGGATTGTAAATACTCAAATCAAACTCTGAAGGAGGGGATAGTATCAGAGTTTAATTCTGAAAACCTGATTTGCAGAAGGCTATGGATGACAGCCGAAGTCCAACATCCATGGATTAAACCTTTGGTGAATCCCCCCTGACTATATAATCCATGGGTCTGCATAGCACTGTTATCAGAGTATTGTAAAGTTGAGTATGGAAGATGTAGTTAGGTTTAAATGTAATATGTTATTGCTTGACTTCCCTTTTGACCCATTTTAAAGTTGTTTCCGTTTTTAATATCTTGTTTTTGTTTTGCTTTGTCCTTGTTGGTTGGTTGAATTTTATGAGTTTTTGCATATGAAATGCAGGACAGGCAAATCTTTAGAGACAGTAACTGGATTAATAATTACCTAGGGGCATGGCAGAGGAGGTTGGGGGGTTGAGAATGGGATGCTCACAATGAGTAAGAGAAGAAAATGTTTTGAAACGGATTGTGATTGCACCACTCTGAATATGATTGAACGATTAAATTGTATGATATGAATTATATGCCAATAAAACTAATTAAAAAAAAAAGGAAATTCTACATGCTTTTGGAATTCTTAAATAGGTTTTTCCTGAAGTTTATTTCTATATTGATACCTTTATTAGTCATCTTTTCATTTTGCAGTTCATTCTTAAGTCCATCTCCCTTCATTACGGCATTTTCAAAATTAAACTAAAATGAAAGGGATTTAAATCCTTACACGTTAAAATTTTTTAGAATACATATATTATAAAATATCTTAATGTGAAATTGATATATTCTTTGTTTTCAAAATGACTGCACTCTGTAAAGTGAAACTCCTGCAGACAGTATTTTGAAGAAATAATAGACATTTCACCTCAGTTATACTCATTTAATTTTTACATTTGGCTTTTATATTTTACCTAATAAAAGAAAAACCTTAAAAAAGTAGAAGTGGAATTTTTGACATTAGCTCAGGAAAAATGGCTAATTATGTCAAGACTAATGTTTTATTTCTTGACTATTTTCAAGGCTCACATGTGGATTATGAAGTCTTAAACAGTTTGATCACTAACCTGTTGCTGGTGACAGAATAAATTGTCTGGTTACTGGAGCCTAATGCAAGACTAAAATGTATTTTCATAAATATCTGGCTATGATACTGGACAATTATGATGATGTGTCCCAGACACTGTTCAGAAACTTGAGATAAGAAGTCACCTGATTTATTCAGCCAAGTTATTAATCACAAGCAGGTTTTGGAGAGAAGGCCCTGCTTAAAATACCTAGTAGTACACAAATTAAAAACTATACTTGTCATAATGAATTCCGAGAAGGCTTCAAAAGGTCATGGAAAAATGCCATTATTCCATGACCTTAAGAAGCCCCTTTGTACCATCAATGCTTTGGTACAGCACTGTTCTCTCAAAAATTCAACGTGGTGGTACTAATGGTACAGTATTTTGTACATGATTTTTAACATTTTCCTGCTTTGGATAGAAGCCATTATTATATTTTTTGGAAAATAAACAAAACATAAAAATTTAAAAATCACTCAGAATATTAATACTCAGGTAACCATGTCAGTATGTATTCTTTTTTGTGTGTTTTGTTTTAATTGTTTTATTAGGGGGCATGTATTCTTTCAGATTAAAAAAGACTTGTTAGTTGTTTAAGGTATCCTAAATTTCTATATATTATCACCTTTAATGGCTATAGTTTTTTTTATATCATGTGTACTAGAATTTATATTGTGTGTATTCAAGTTGATTGTGATTCATAGCAACCCTGTCAGAGAAAAAAATGTCCCACAAGGTTTCCTAGTCTGAATTCTTTATTATTAACGGATCATTTTATTGGGGGATCTTAAAGCTCTTATAACAATCCATACATCAATTGTATCAAGCATATCTGTACATATGTTGCCATCATTATTTTCTAAACATTTACTTTCTATTGAGCCTTTGGTATCAGCTCCTCTTTTTTCCTTCCTTACCCCTCCCTCCCCCACAGTGACCCATTGATAAATTATAAATCAAGAAGGGCTTTGGGAGTTTTTAATCCATTTGAATAATAATTCCATTGTTATCACTATTTTTTAAGCACCAAGATGTGAAGTAATTTGTCTGATTATTGTTGATTAGTGTTGGACATTTAATCAGATTACAATGCTGTGATATTACACCCACTTTTCACTTATTGATTTGGTTAGATTCCAAGGAATAGGTCGATTACGCGAAAAGGAAAGTTGACCATTCCATTACGATAACTAAGAATCATGGCCCAGACAAGCGGACACCTAGCTTGCAGCATCACAATTGGCATTACTCATTCCTGGCCACCTGGGCATCTGTTATTGACATACAGATATTGTTAATGTTAACTACTATCATTTGAAATGTTAAATAACAAGAGAGTTGATATATGCATAAATAATATTGTCATAAATATGTTCATAATTTAAAATTACCTTTGGGAAAAATTCCACCAAGTGGGATTGCTGGGTTCAAAATTACATTTTTTTAAATTCCCAAACATTTCCTATGGGAATTTTATATTTATACCTCAATCAACAATAGGTACCTATATGACTTATTACATTTTGAAGAGCAAAAAAGAAAAAATGCAATAGTTAACGACTGTATAACTATCTGCTTTAGTCACACATTTTCTGTATTTAGAAGTACAAATTCATTTTAATGGATTTTTTAAAATTAGCTTTCATCACCAGTGGCTGTGGAGTTGACTACTCCTGACAACTCCAAACCTGTCAGAGTAGAACTGTGTTCCATAGAGGGTTCTAATGCTAACGTTTGGGGAGTAGGCTGCCTAGTCCTTCTTCCTAGGCACCGCAGGGTGGACTCAAGCCTCCAACCTTTGGGTTCCCAGCAGAGAGAGCGCTAACTAGCTATTTGTACCACTCAGCGGCTCCGCTCTTTTTATGCCAAGATACCAATTCTGTTGTGGACGTGTTAAAAATACTTATTTTACATGTCATATTTGGAAGTATCATTTGGGTATAGTTTATGTCATCTCAGTTCACATGCAAGATGCTCTTTGTACATCTTGTTCCAACTGGAGTACAAACCATCTACGAAATACGCTTTAAAATTTTCCACATAAAAGCATTTTAATGAAGTCAACCTGTAAGTAAAATTGTTAATTATTCCAATGGCTAGGAACCTCTAATTCTATTTTTCAGGTTTCCTTTTTGCTCAGTTTTGGGGCAATGTACAAATTGTTGAGTAGCATCTCCTTTTTCTAAAATTCCCCCCTCCTGAATGATGCGTCGCTAGGTGCGAACGCCCTCCTAGCAGCTTTCCTACGCGCCCGTGGGGCGGCCAGGGACTCTTCCGAAGGAGTCCCCCGCTCGGCACTCCCGTCCTAAGGATTCCGAGCAATCCATTCAACTCACGTGACTTCATCCACACCAGTTGCCCGTCACCTTAGGTAGCGAACCGAACCCACAGCCTTTTCACCTAGAACTGAAGGGGTTTCCCATCCCTCTCCATAGGGACTACAAGGTTGGGAAAACGGACAGCGAAGCAGGAGAAAGACGTGCTAGACCATTCCTCCTCCTCTCTCTGCAGCCTCTGAATCACTTCTGGGAGCTTTAGCTGGCTTCAGCACGCCTGAAGGACCCCACTCTCCAGGGAATCCTAGCTGAAGAAGAAGCAAAACACACAGGCATTTTAAATCTCTCATTTGCAAGCGTGACTCATGAAAAAGGGACTCGGGTGGAGGGGCCGCTTTGGCGCGGCTTGTTTCGGCGGGGCAGGCTCCGGGCAGGCAGCGCTGCGGCCACCTGGATTCCCGGCATGCTCCGCGCGCCGGGCTTTTCATCTCCTTCGCTGTTGCCGCCGCTGCCGCGGTTGCTGAGGGAGTCTGAGGCTTGGTACTGTGGCGGACCCTGCAGAGTCTGCCTTTGCTACTGTTTTTGCCTGAAGCGTCTTCCTTCCTCCTTCGCACCCTGACTCCCGAAGTGTCTAGGGGGAGTCCCCGTGGACACCTCTGCCAGCAGTGGAGATGCCTCTCTTTGCCACCAATCCCTTCGATCAGGATGTTGGTAAGTGCTTTTGCCGCTCCCTGCCCGTCCACCCCTAAACCGAGTTGCACTCTGCCCGCTCCCTGCTTAGACTGTGGACCCCGGGGTTCCTTTTGCTCAAGATCCCTGGTCCTTGGGGTTTGGGCATGCAACGCATCCTTCTGGGGACAAAGACAGCGAAATAGGCCTTGGGCGAGGACAGGGTATCGAAAGAACTGCTTCAGGAGCTTGTGCTAATAGCCCGGGAGGAACAGCTGGTATAGTATCTGATGTTGGACAGTGCTTCTTGAAGAACTGACTAGAGTAGGATTATAGCCCTGTAATATAGTGTCTACCTGGACAGGTAATAGACACCAGGGTCTAGAAGAAATGCTTTACATAAGCTTCCTTAGACCGTTAAAAATCCCATTTTTTAACTGTCTACAGGAGGGAGCTTCTGCTTAAGGGTGGCATCTCAGAAAATGTTGTGGGAGACGAAGATGAAATTTTTGGCAGTCGACAAGCCTGTGTCAAGTACCTGACCCATTTCGGTGCCTTTTAAAGCCCTGGCCTTTAAGGTTTGAAGAAGACCTTGGATCTCGAAAGGAGTTTGAGATGCTCAATTTTTGTTGTTTCCCGAATGATTGGTATTAGGTTGGATCATACCAATTCAATGGGCTAGCTTTTGCTTTTAGTTTTCGGCTCGAGGGAAATAATTAGGGGTTTCTGAGTATCCTGGCAGGGAATCTTGGGATGGTTTGAATGTACTTAGGGCCTACAGAGGCAAAGGAGTGTGGACTTGTGTCAAATGATATGGCATAGGCAGACTTTGATAATCACACCAGGACAGAAATAAAACTTCATGGAATTAGCGTTATATCTATCTAATCTATCTATCTATCTATCTATCATCTATCTATCTATCTATCTATCTATCTATATATCCATCTATGGCGTTAAAGGGGAGAGGGGACCCCACAAATCATCACAGGTCTGGTAGGTGCAATTGCACAGCGATAATAAGTAAAGATTACAGTAAAGTCATAGAGAGCATGAGAGTTAAAAGATGGAGTCAAGTAATGGAGTCAGACACAATTCATGGTAGCATTGCTCACCTCAGCCCCGCTTGGTGGTCCGCGTGGAGGGAGTCAGCATAACTTTAATGCTTCACAAGCTTCTCCCCTCCCTGGGGACCTGCAAGCCCCCTAATTACAGGCGAAGACATACGTCACAGGAAGGGGTTGTACAGTAGGCATACACATTGTAAGAAGGGGATCTATGATAGGCATAAGCGTAACAGGAAGGGGATGAGCTAGGCGTGTGCCCATAGGAATGGGAAGGTCTAGGGGTATATATGTGATAAGATGGGTGGACCCTAGATTCATGATGGCAGCCTAACCTTGGTCATCCTTGGGTGGGTTTGACCTCTCTGGTGTCTCCTACAAGGAAACTGACAACTACTATCCTTATCAGAAGGGAGTGGGCCCTACTTGTTGTGGGATAAACAGTGGTGTTTACTTGTTCCAGATGTCTGATAGCTCTTAAGGAGAATGACCCCTACTCTACTCCTGATGGCCTCCAAGTGTATAGTCATTCTCAAGCTAAGTCTGGCATATATTTGGGGGAGACAACTTGGGAGAAGTCCTTGTTTCCCACATCTATCTATCTATCTATCTATCTATCTATCTATCTATCTATCTATCTATCTATCTATCTATCTATATCTATCTATGACAGGTGTTCTCTCAACACTTTGTTACAGCCATGTCTCAAGCTTGTGAGTTTGGCTTTTGACTGGAAAAGAGTTCAATCTTCACTTTACCAAAGTTACTTAAGCTTTTTGAGCCTTGATGTCTTTCATCTTAGTATTGGCGCAAAAGCACAGGATTCTGTTTTGTGATTGAATGACATCATGGGTAGTGGCCTACTACAGTGGTGCTTTACTATCATTGCAATTGCTAATTGTTAACCCCACCTGAACCCACTGCCATCGCCCATTCCTATTCATAGCAACCTATGTAGGATTTCTGAGGCTGTGAATCTTTACCAAAGCTCATCTTTCTCCTGAGGAGTGGCTGGTGACTTTAAACTATTGATCTTACAGTTAGCAGCCTAACAACACTACCCTGGTGGCAGTGAATTTGATTCTTTGATTTGGATTTGTGTTATTTATGGGACATGGTACTCAGAGATAAGAGGTACAATGATGAACAGGGCAGTTATTGCTCTGAGCAGTCTTACCGTTTACTACCTTAATCTCTAGGGCAAATACCTCAGCATACTAACTTCTTAATACCTGTGTTATCTGGCTGTAGCATCTCTATCCAGTTTTCATAACCCGGTATGAGCCCTGGTAGCAGAGTTGACTTTGCAGAGGGCTACTAACTACACAGGTAAGCAGTTTGGACCCCTGAGCCACCCTGAGGGAAAAAGATGAAGATCTGTAGCCTCAAGATCTCTAAGCATCAGTTCTACTCAGTTTGTGGCATTGCCCCGAATAGGAATCCAACTAGATGGCAGTGAGTTGAATTGGATTGTTGAGTTATGATCCTTTTTGTCCTACTTCTTTTGCCCCTCCTTTTTAAAAGACAATTTTTGGTGACAATATTACGAAACCAAACACACAACTATTCAGTTTCTACATGTGCAGTCACCATTCTCACTCTCTCTACCGATATTGTGATATCACCATTGGTTTAGATTCTCTGCTCCTTGCAGTTCTAATCTCTGTTTCAGATTGTTCAGTTTGAACTCATATTGATTAAGAGGACAGTTCTCAAAGCAAGTATTCCTCACTGAAAGGTGAAGCTATCTGCTCCCAAAGAGATTTACAGCTGCAGAAATGGGGTAGCTATGCGTTGGAATAGACTGGGTGGCTGCTTTTGTTTGGTTGGTTGTTTTGTTTAGCAGTAGGATAATTATGGGTCAAGGTGTAAAGATTCCAGGCATTAGATTCAGGATCCCCCGAAGAACAAAAAAAAAGTATGTTTTTTTTATGTGGGTTACTGATATGCTTTAGACTTTTAACCACACGGTCAGCAGATAAAGTTGAGCTCTTCTGCTCCCCGCCCTCTCCCCCCAACATTTCCATTGGATTGGGATACTTAATATTAAATCCTTTCTCTACCCATATCACCCAGTTTAAATACAGTCTTCTTGTCTTTGAATTTGCTTCTATAACCTTTTGTACATATCCTCGTGTTTTAAGGCCAACTCAGAATCCAACTTGTTATACTTGAATCATTTCCTGATTATGCTAACTTAGGGTTTCTCAACAGCAGCACTATAGACATTTTGGATCAGTTGCCCAACCTTTTAAGTATGTTTAATAGCATTCCTGATACTACCACTAGATACTAGTGGCACCTGTCTTACCTGTGATCATGGGGGAAGAAAAGATCTGACATAGCTACATGTCTTAAGGGGGGAAGGAGAGATGGGAAGGGACAGAGTAATTCCTACTTGAGAACCACTGTTCAGCCCACTATAATTTTCACTCCTTTCCAAGTTCCTGAAATACTTTTTTGTCTTTATTATTTAGCATTAACGACAGTTACAGTATATCTTAAGAAGCTCTGGTGGTGCTGCTGGGTAAGCATTTGACCGCACACCTCAAGACCAACCCTTTCAAATCTACCCGCAACTCTCTGGGAGAAAGAGGAGGCAATCTGCTTTCCCATAAAGATTGACAATCTTAGAAACCCTGAATTGTGTCGCTATGAGTCAGCATGGAGTAAGCAGCAGTGGGTTTGACTTGGGATCTGTGCTATCTTAGTCATTTTAGAATTGCCACATACTGTGTCTAATAAATGTTTGTTGTACTGAAAATATTTCAGCGATACCTCCTAGTTAGTAAGTGCCCTGAGTATATATAATAGGGCCATTGTTTTGTTCTAGAGGAAGTTGCTTTATAAAGTTAGGTTTAGTACTTGGATTCTTGCATGATCCATATATTGAAATATAGAAGGATAGTCTAAGAAGACCCTTTAGAGACTAAACCCACCGACAGAGACAAATATGTTAAACTTACTGCTAGTATAGTATATAGAAAGCCCTATTTAATGTTTCTTCACACTTCTCCACCAATATGCCATGTAAGCAACTAGCTCAATGTGATGGAATTAACGTTTGTATACAGTCGCACTTTTTCCAAATCTTCTGCTTTATTCCATGCACTGAAACGGAATCAGAAATCCACTAACTGACTTAGACAGAGAAGAGAGTATGGTGATTGCTTTTTTCATTAAAGAAATGCCTAACCCTGTGATTAGAATGACAGTTCCATGAGGATCAGGATTTTTGTTGAATTATTCATCAGCATATGTCCAGCTTCTAGATAGTGCCCGACATTAGTAAACATTCGTTAGTATTTACTGAATAAATGAATCTTTTTTGAACATCATTTCTTGCGTTTACTCAACTTTTGATTTCTAAGCATATATCACTACAACAAGCTTTTATTTAAACTTTCTGGTGATTTCCTTCTTGAGTGCTTAGCCTTCCTTTTTTGGTATAGTTGCGTACATCAAGGGGCCTTGGTGATTCAGTGGGTTGAGCATTGGACTGCTAGTTGGAGATTTGGCAGTGCAGACCCACTAGCCATTCCTCAGGCTACAGTTAAGGCAGTTTGCTCTGGAGCAGAGTTCAGCTCTCTCATGTAGGAATCCTATGATTTGGAATGGACTCATTGGCCCCTGGTTTAGTGGATGTTTTCTTTACTTCCAGGACACCAAACTTCTGAAGGTTTTCTGCTTCGTTCCTTTTAATTTTTCTTGCTCTGGAGATCAGTTCTGGAATGTATTCACTTTTGATGTGTTTTTCCTTTGGCATCTTAGGAGACAACTTTGTTTAGTTTGAAGAATTTAAGACTCTGGGGCGCACTGCATGGATTCAAATTCTGGGTTTGCTGCTTACCAACAGTATGACTTTGGGCTAGTGGCTTAATACTCTCGAAACCAAACCAAACCTATTGCTTTTGAGTTGGTTTAGACTCATACGGAGCCTGTAGGAAAGGGTAGACTGTCCCACAGGGTTCCCAAGGC